CAGTAAAACATTTATGTCTTCCCACTTCATTGTTTTGTTCCTTTCATACTTCCCACTGCATGTGCACTGAATTATGTCTTCCCCAGTGATTTCCTATTTTTATCACCACTTCATCCTACAGATATGCGTTGCTCTAGTGTGATTTAGAGGATTTGTATAACTAGGATTTCCAAATCTTTTTTTCCTAGAGGCTTCCTAGAAGATCCAGATTTTCTTCATATAAATGACTTTGGCACTCAATCATAGTGGAGTCAGGGCTTATGCCTGAAAGGCAGTCTGACAAGTTGAAAAAGCTTCTGGAAGTGTTTCTCAGTATGTATCCCTAAGATGAATACCTGATTCCATGAAAATGAATGACAAAACTTGAGCTCATTTAAGCTGAATGGGACTCCTAGTTCCTAAAATGAAAACATCTTGACATGACTTCACACACAGCTATTCTGCTTATCTCTGGTACAGAATGGGATATTTTTATTTCTTCGTGTAGAAAGCAGTTCAGTAAGATTTGATGTCTTCTGGATAGCCAAGCTTTGGCTTACCATCAGACTCAGAAAATCCCTTTACACTTCTAAAACTCTCTGATGATAGAAGGTTATTTATTTCAACTAAGTAAATATGTTAAAGCTAACTATAGAAGCAGCTGCATGTTTGTTTAAAGCATGGAGTTTCTGTTGCCAAATGATCAATGTCAATTCAGTATTTCATAAGGCACTAACAAAATATTGGTTAACTTAGTATGAAAAAGAGAGGTGAATAATTTGTGCAGCACAAAACTAAATGCAATTAATCTCAGTTAAAAAAAAAATTGTCAAAAATATTTATAAACTATTTAGAATCAGTATTAAGACACAAATGCATGTTGTTCAATCTTTTCAGTATCTGCAAACATGCAGAAGTCTGCAGCTGAAACATGCTCTAACATTAATGAAAGGAAATCCTTTAACAGAGAAACCATAAAAGATATCACACATTTCTGATTACATGTCTTATGAATATCTTCTGGAGTTTTTTTTTTTTTACTTTTTATTTTTATTTTCCTTAAGCATGACACTAAAAAAGAAGTTATTTGTCTACATTGAAGAAACTCTGTGCCACCTAGTTCGTGGCATAACATCAAAGAGATATCCATGATCACAACCTGACTCTAGATGGACTTATCTAGAATCATGCAGATGAGGTGCAAATGAATAGATAGTGTAGCTGCTTCCACTGAAATTCAAATCTGATCTGTTGTAATGTCAAAGGAAGATATGAAGATCTGAGGAGGCACTATACTTGAGCATGCAGAAAAGATATTTTTCTGACTAATGTAAGTGAGACATGCTTCCTAAACCTTGCTTCCTAAAATTTCTACAGCAATTGGTAAAGATGTGGTAGTGGAAGTAGTACTGCGTTTGCTCTGAAATATCTTGGAAGTATTACTGCCTTCAGTAGGACTGCTGTAACTCAGAGTGGTGACATTATATGCTCTTAAATCTATATCATCTATATTACTAACTTTATTACTTGAAATCTGAGTACAGCTGGTTATCTTGCAGTTCCTGGCTGTCTAAGGAAATGCAGTAATGTGTTTCTGCTCAGTTTTGTGGGTAAAAGCTACAGAAGATAAATAAGGTTACAAAGCACAAAAGGTGGGAGAGGAAGATTCTAGGCTTGCTATCAGGTGTCTTAGAAAGGATGACTGTCTTGTCGGGATATAGGCAGAGTTGTGTTTTAGGACATATTGTCTAAATTAACACACTCAGGAGCTCCTGCAGGATAATGCTATTTCATAACAAAGCAATTTGTTAACATCAATTTCCACTTAATGTTTATCTCATAAGTAATCTGAAGGTGACTTGCAAAATAGGGTTCTTTGGGTAAGTGTGTGTAGAACAGTCCTCTCCCAAATCCCAGAAGCTTAAATCTTCTTTAAGGCACCCATGGTAGAGCACAAAGCAACTGCATGGGGGGGCATCAGACTCTGAAATAGATGTAAGGGCTGCTGGTCTTTCTCCTAGCTTCCAATAGAATTCCAGACTCATTTTGCTATCATGTATAAGATGAATCACTTGCAGGAACTCCATCTGTCTACTCAAGATGTTATCATCAGTGTCAAGAAAAATATTTGGTCAGGTCAAAATGTGGCAGTTTTAAAAAATTACTAATTTTCTTTTCTATTTTTCTGAATATTTCCTTTTCTCTCAGCAGCAACTGTATTCCATACTATATGTTGACTATTGTATCAAAATAGCAATACTAGCAGTATCTAAGAGATGTCACACTGAGTATAAAAGAAAAATGTTTCTTTTTGCCTTCTTTATATTAAGACAGTAATAGCTGCATTCTTTGCTACTACTGAATAAACAATACCAGGTCAACAATAAACAGTATACAAACTGTTACTGTACAAACTAATGATGCAGATTCAGTTACCAATAAACACTAAAGCTCCCTCCAATTAAACTGCATTTTTAATGTGTAAGTATCTAGTACAATGATGCTCTCTAAATGCAGACGGTGACTCACTCCAGCTTCAGGAAGGCAGTGAATTGACATTTCCCTGCCCGTTAAAAAGGAGGAACAGCAAAAGCAAACAGCTCCCACAATGAGTTGTAGCACAATACTTTCTTGTCAGATCATAAAATCATAGAATCAATCATAGAATGGTTAGGGTTGGAAAGGACCTTTAGATCATCTAGTTCCAACCCCCCTGCCATGGGCAGGGACACCTCACACTAACCCATCTCACCCAAGGCTGGTCTTGAACACTGCCAGGGACGAAAACATAGGCCTGAAAGATAATACAATTAAAAGAAAAAAAATAATTAAAAACTGCTATGATGAAAATGGGATAATAGTCCAATTATTGAGAAAGCATATTAGAAAAAAGAGTCGAGGTAGAAGAGTATCTTACTTAATAATTGTAACACACTTTTTTTCCCATAGGCCTGCAGTAAATGATGCTGTGCTATTTTGTTTACTGAGAAAATGCTAAAAACTCATAAAGGTCATTTGAGTAAGCCTGTATAACCCAGTTTGCTAGGTTATTTAAGCACTTCAAAAGACTCATCTAGGTGTACCAGGGATATCCACAGATTCCCAGATTGTCAGTATAAAAAGATTCGTATTGGTCATACTCATTAATAGACAAGGGAAACAGTCCCAGAAAAAGAGTGTAATCAGAGATTTTGGATAACATCCTTCAGCAGTGAAATAAGACTGGTAGTGTCATACTGACATGGAGGTCAGGAGGGTGGGAGTTATCTGAAATTCATACATGATAATTAAATAAAAAAAACACAAAATCAACTTGACAGCTTGCTCACCATGTCACTATCAGCTGGTAGGTCCCTGAAAGTATATTAAATACCTTGGTCTAATAACATGTCAAATGTGCAGAGGATAAAAAAGGAAAGACTACATGCAGGGGAAAATTGTTGCCCAAAAGTCAGGGGAACTCCTGGCTGGGGTCTAGAATTGTGGAGGGGAGGTTCCCATGGGAGCTGGCAAGGCGGGCCCTGGCAGCCCCTCCTGTTCCACTGTCCCAGCCAAGAGCAAGACAGCTGGGGGGCAATGGTGGCAGACCCAGCCCTAGGCATCAGACACCTCCCTGGGGGTGGAGATGGGGATGGGATAGAACAGGGCATGAGACCACAGGCTGGAATCAGCCCAGGTCCCAGAGCCAGTCCCAGTCCACCTGCAAGGAAGTGGGGTGAGGGCTCAGACAGGAACCAAGTGCTGGGGTTGCAGCTGAAGGCAAGTATCATGGCTGGGGAGGCCTAGCCACTGCCTCCCGTAGCACTAGTGAGGGCTTTCTCCTTAACTCACTGGGATGGGGGCATCCTTGGCAGAGCTGATCCTGGGCTTATCCCCCAGACTCACAACCAAACCCTGCTGGGGGGGGGGGGGAATGCTTTTATGGACCCAACAGTTTCTACAGAGCTATTTTAAACTGAGGAAGGCATTACCAATGCTGGATTTTGTATGAGTAATTATGAATATCCCCTGTAAAATCTCTCAGCGCTCTGTTCCCCTTCCTCTTAATTTTACTAATTGCTACATTTGGGTTTCAAGGGCATGCTGGATTTCATGTGTGTTCACAAAAGACATATTAGCCATACTTCTGGAGTGTGTTGCAGCAGGTCCAGGTCAGCAGAAAGCAGGGCGAAAGCCACCCGGGAGGCCAATCTGCTAGATGCAAATCCTTTTGTTTCAGGAAATGGTATTTCTTCACTGGGCATTGTGCTCTGGGCTAATCCGAGATGCTAGTGATACACTGTGTGGTGATGTGCTGGACGTGCTCTGAAAAATGTGTTTGGCTGGCTTGGTGAGGAACTGCTTGTAGAAAACTGCTTCTAGCAGGCTGGTGAACTCCCTGGTCTTGTGCAAACCACTCTCACTTTGAACTTCAGAGTTTAATCTGAATGTTTCAACCTCTTTCTAATTATGTCGGTGCTAGTTATTGCTCTTCTATCAAGCCTGCCACCTTCGAAGTGTTTCTTAAAACAAACAAACCAACTAACCCAAATCCAAAACAAACAAACAAACAAACAAAAGGTACCAATATTAAGTTTTAGACTTGTTCCTGGGCCATTTCTACTGTAGGCTTCTGTACAGAAGAGCTGGAACTCAGTGAAATGTGGAAGCTACGTTAATTCCTCTACACTTTTATTTCTCTCAAAGTTTCACTGGGCAAAGATACATCTTAACATACATACTCTGAGGTAGTATCAGACATGTAAAAATGTCGGTTTATTTTTTTGCCATTTTGATCTATGACCCTGGAAGTTTTATGGCAATTTTCTTGCAGCGAGGGATGTAGCCATGGCATGGGGGGGAGGGGAGCTACCATGGCATGCTCATTTGTTGTCTCTTCCCTTCTGAAATCTGCTCTCGATTTCTCCAGCACATAGTTTCGCAATGACTTTTTTGTGTGGTTCTGTGTTTAGGGCAGCACCCAGATTCAGCTGCTGCAAAGGCAGATGGTTGCTGGCCTGTGGAAACACTCTGGTTGCTAGGTGGGGTCTCCGGCTCCAAGCTATAAAAGTGCAGAGAGCCTTCTGCACTCGTATTGCTGACTGTGCTGCCCTGAAAAGAGTATTTGGAAGCAAGAAGGTAGGTTTTTATTGTTTGCTGCTCTCTATAGATCTGACAAACTTTAAGAATCGTATGCTAAATTTGTTAAGTGACTTGGTGGAATTTTCTGTGAGTTGGATTTACTGGCAAGGGAAAGATGGAAGTGGGCAGGGGGAATTCTTTCCATTTTCAAGCATTTCATGTACATAGAAGGGCTTGGACAGCTGCTGCTTTTATTTAATAAACTTAAGTAATTGGGAAAAAAACAAAAAGAAACACCTTAAAAGATTAAAAGCAAACTTATTTGGACTTGACAGTTTCTTATGATTTCTCTTTGCCCTTCTAGTAGGCTGCTGTAGAAAACTAGTAAAACTGTAGTTTCCTGGAGAAATAGTGTGTTTTGTATGGAGATTTAAAGAACAAACAGCTGTTGTTACATCAACAACAGTTTGGTGCTTTGGGACTGTAGAGGGGTTTTTGCTTATGAAAGCGATGACAATGAGGCAAAGCAAACTTTTAGAAACAAAAACAAACCCCTGTTTTTGTGACTGAGAACTTAGGAAAAGCCACATAAGTAAGGGCTGTATCATGGAAAAGCCACATGAGTAAGGGCTGGGGTTTGTTCTGCTAAAACTTTCCACTGAATTTTCCAAGGATGAGATTGTTCTTCTCTCTGATGTTTTCATTCATATTCAGTAGACTTTCCACTGTAAATTAAATTCCTGTGTTAAATCTGCTGCCTGTTCTTCTGATTGGGTGTAATGACTCTAACTTACATGTCAAGGTCCTGATAACTAGGATTAGACAGTAAGCAGGATGATATATATGATATGGTTAAATGAGCATGGAGAAACTGTCATTTAACAGACTGTAAAGTCTAATCTGTGTCTTTAATTTTTTTTAAATAAATGTTGAGTATTTTCTCAAAACCTAAGAATTTACACGTGTAGATTAGGGTGCCTCTTCTGGGGACTGGGAACCAGACAGAAAACAATTGCAGTAATTATTGTGAAGCAAGTGTTAGGGCTTTGAGTCTGGATGTCTGAATTTTTGTTTCAGTTTCAATGTTGTTCATTCCAATTTGGAATGGCCTTGATCCTCTTTCCTTTTTGATTTGACATCTACACATTCCAGTCTGGGAAAAGGCATGGACAATATTTTATTAGAATTTTATTAATCTGAAATAGGTATTTTTATGGAGTAACTAGAAAAAAGTGTCATAACTTTCTACGACGCTTTCTGTTTGCATCACTCCACAGGCACATATTTTTTTTTTTTCCTATATACAAATGGATGTATGTGCCAAAGTTTCTTATTTAAAAAAAAGGAGGAAAAAAGGACAGTTTTTAAGGCACAGAATTATTTTATTGCATCTCTAATTTAAATTAGGGTAGACATAAAGGTTTAGAGACTTAATAAACCTAATTCAGTGTAGGTTAGCAGCTGCCTGTTCTAGTCATCTGCAAGGGCAGTAAAATCTGTAGAGCTGGGGGAGAGCCATGGCTGTGGTGACAGGCAGAAGAAACTGAGATGTTAGCAGTTCTACCTGGAGCCAGCTCTCCCTGAGAAGTGTTACTCTGTCAATCAAAACATTTTTTGTCCCACCTCTTGTCAAATCTGGTACTGTGAGACTAAATCTTGTTAGTTTTAAATGATTATACACTCTGTAAATCTATCAGTCGACTGACATTTCTGTACATCTTTGCTGGTGACTCAGTACCCCTAGTATGAAGTCTTTCAAATGTTTTCATTCTGCTGCATATGGCCTTTATGTGTGCTGTTATAAAATGCAGCAAAACTTTAGATACCATACACTTCATCTGGCCTCATATACTTATTCTGTCAATACAAGAGAGGTACAGGAATCACTGTAACTCTTTGATACTTCATCTGGCCTCATATACTTATTCTGTCAATACAAGAGAGGTACAGGAATCACTGTAACTCTTTGATAAAATGCTGGTTTTAACAGCAATGTAAGTATGCTTTTCTGATCCTCAGTAAGCAAAACATATATAAAAGTTTGGCCTTAAAACTTGTACAATATTCTGACCATTATTTACCAGCATAGGATTTGCTTTAAGTGACATACAAATACAGATTTGAAGCAGATTGTTTTTTTTTCTAGCATCACAGGCAGGGCTGAATTTTATGCCTTAGGGCTGAGGGAAAGGCATAAAAGCAAGAGGTTTCTGGGGAAGAGGGAGTGAAGGTGGCTTCTGTGTTAAAGAGGGAAGGGAAGGGTGGAGCTGGGCTGGAGGAGGACTGTGGGAGGAAGCTATTGCATTGTTGGCAGCTGAACATGGAAGTAAGTTTTACAGTTTTGCTATGAGGAAAGAAGCAGCTGGCCTGCAGCTACGCTGCTGGTTCCTAAGTGTGTGCTGTTTTAAATGACTGCTCTTTGCCCATAGTATGGAACACAGGGCAGAAGTAAGGGAAGTGTGTTTGCAGTATAAGCAACATAATTTTTTATAGTTATGTATATGATCTGCATTATATGATTTGCATCATAACTGCAAATAGCATCTTGTCTCTTCACACTAGATTCAAAGACACTGTAGTCTACCCAGCAGCATTTTCTTTATTATTTATATGTATTCTTTAAACCCAAGCTTTCCATAGTGTTTGCTCTGGAAGTGTGTTAGGGGAAAAAATGTATTTTTAGCAGACCAAAAGTACTGTATTTGATAAAACATGAATTTATTTTCTCTGTTCCCTCTCTATGTCTACTAGCAAACAGAATATTCCTAACACCAAAGTTGTTATGAAGCAGTTTATTCATTCATATTTGGATGTTCAATGACAAATCACATCACCATTAGTTTTTTTTCCCCATTCTGCATGGTATCTTGTGGGAAAGCTGGGCTGATTTTCATTTTGAGTGTTTAAAAGCAAAAAATTACCCTTTTCCCTTCTAAAATGGGCAATACTCTATTCTTTTGTAGAAATCAGAGGAAATATGTAAGAAATAAGGAATAGTGTAGGTGAAATTATCTAATTTTACGTGTATTCCTTAGGAAGGGGTTGGTCAAAGAAATTACATGAAAGGGAATATCTTTTGTCTTAACACACAAAAGCTCCAACCACAGTAAATGATCAGACAAGAATACTTGTTCACCGCTGATTTTGAACAGAATCAAATATTCAGTAAGCTAAATGAGCATAACTGATGCTATAACTAATAGGGAAAGTCAGACTTCAATTTGTTTCTGGTAACTTTCGTGTCAATGCTAATCCTTAGGTATTGCCTAATCAAAACTCCTGCAAGTAATTAAGGCTGTAGGGGTGAGCAAACAGTTGTGGAGTATTGCATCACCTGGCAAACACAAAATTACCTCCTTCAAGTAGAACAGGCCAATTGCTGCTTGGGAAACTAACCTCTGCATATCATAGTTGAAGGGAAAGGATTTTGAGAGTAGGAGACTTTGAGTGACACTGGTACTGAAAATGGTGAGAGATAGTTTGTAACTTGATGGAAAATTGGGTTTTTACTTGGTGCATCTTTTCACAGAAACTCTGTCAACATGGCTATGGTATCAGAATTTCTGAAACAAGCATGGTTCATGGAAAACCAGGAGCAGGAATGTATTGTAAGTATTATCACCTTCTGAGAGCATCATGCTTATTTTCAAGTACTTTCAGAACTGATTTAAAGGCATAGGCCACCAAACATCTTTAATGTACTCAAAGGAAGAACAATGGCAAAAGTCCAGCAGATTAAAGAGGAACCCAATTTTATTGCATCATATAGTCTAATGGAATCTAATAATTTAGTAAGTCTGCTATCAGATAAAAAATTACCCTATATGCACTTATGAGTCCAGTTATCAGTTCCTAGGCAGAACTAGTTACTGTAGTGAAACTGTAATTTCCAGTGACCAATGACTGATTCACTCAAGTCTCCGCTTTAAAGTCGTAATCTGATGCATGAGTGTGTGAATGGGTGTGAGCATGTTCAGGAGACGTACATGAGAAAATCAGGGACTCAGGCTGAGTTACAGGAAGCCATGAGTTGGAGCCCAGAAATGTAAAGGAGGAACTGAAGTCACTAGTATATGTCCTAGCTTTTGAGTCATATGTCATGCTTATGGTGCAGAGTCACAGTGTGTTAAGACATCTCAAATGATCAGTAGTGATATTGATTAGAAGGGAGGCTTGTGGTGAGAAATCAAGAGTTAGTGTACTAGGATGATGAGGAGTGTCTTATAATACTGAAATTAAGCTACTGAAATGACTGTCAGGAAAGGTAAAGCAGTACACTGTGAAGTCCCAGGAGGTCCAGAAAGAAGGAAGTTGAACACAGGGGGGAAATTTCACTAATTTTGTCTCCAGAGCATTTTGTGCATAAACCTTTGGCTCCATCTTCCTATCCTCCTTGCACTCCCAAGGTTCTGAATCATTCTGGTTATGGTGGTTAGATTTTTTTTTTTTATTGCCACTAGTTTGTCATGGAAACCAGTATCCAAAGACTAACCTGGGAAACAGGCAGCTAACTAGTCCTATTTCTCTGTTGGCTGAAAGTACGCAAGACATTGCTTTAGTTTACAGTCCCTCTGCTCTCTTACTCCCTGTGTGGGGTGTTGAATATTTAGTTATCAGGCATTGGAAGTGTACAAAATTCAGTACAAAATGCTGTAGGCAAAACATGTATCATAAGCCACTTCTCTTGTGCTATTTAACTTCAGACACAAAACATTTAAAAAAAACCAACCCAACAACATTGGGAGTTGTTGAAACAGGGAAAAGGTGATTCTGAAAATGCTTAGAATCTACTGTGGTTTGTTTGGTTTGTTGTTTTTTTTTCTGGTGTTTTTTGTTTGTTTGTTTGGTTTGTTTTGTTTTTTAAACAAAAAATCTCAGCATGTATCATTCCAATGTCAATTTTCTATAAATATTTAATACAAGAATTTTGCAGTATTTTATAGCTTCTGTAAAAGAAGTAGACGGGTTAGATCATGCTGTTGGGTCATAGGCCAGTAGAGTAACATGATTTGTCGTGTTGCTGACTTAGGGCAACCCATGCAACATGGTGTGTAGTGGAATTCATCATCCTTAGGTATTCCCAGAGCCCTCTAGACATTCATTAGAGAGTCAACTCCCTAGACTCCATCTAGGAGTGGATTTACCAAAGCAGACAGTAGATAATGCCTGTGAAGAAAGTGTGGCTTACATCTCAAGTTTCAAGGAAGTTAGGTAACAATTCCCCACTTCCTTATAGGATTAGGTTTGAACTTTGTTCCAAGTTCTTGCATACAAGAAGTGCTTGTAGCCTTAGGTATGGGTTAGCTGAGAAATGACTTAATGTGATGCACAGTCAGTTTGTTTAAAATGAGCACAGAAATCAGTAGCACTTTACTGGCCATGCTTGTAGTATTTAACTGTGGGTTTAGAGCATTTAAAACTGGACATAATTTCTGAAAGTGACAGTTAAGAAGTGTTTTACTGTGGAATCTGGCTTTGAGAAATAGGTCTCTAGGCCCCTTTCTGTTTAATAAAAGAAGTGAAAGGAATAGATCTAATGCATATATATTACTGAGACTGTTTAGTTCTCTGTAGCTACAAAAGTTTGTATGTTCTTTGACAGCCATAATAGGCAATCCCAAATACACAAATACATGGTTTATATAGGCATTTAAAACTGCTTCTTTGGAATGAGCAATTACAATTTTCTTTTTTTTTTTTTTTTTTTTTACTCCTCTCTGCAGAAAAGTGCAAAAGGTAGCCCTGGAGTACAGACATACCCTAACTTCGATCCATCAGCTGATGTTGTTGCTTTGGACAGAGCTATTACTGTAAAGGGTAAGAGGAGTAAATATTTAACCTTCTACATTAGGGCTCTTCTTAGGAAATTTTGAAAATAGCATAACACTGTAAAAAAAAAAAAAAAAAAACAACCAAAAAAACATGAGAGGTAATAGCAAGAAGGAGGGTTGCCTCTGCTTTTAAAAGCCTGGGCATACATTAAATTCTGCCACTTGGTGAAGAATCCCAACTCTTTGATACCCTAATGTTGTATTATAGTTTCAGGCCTTAACACAGGTACTTGAATATGCTGAAGGAAGGACTGTAAACATTAAATTCCTAGGCAATAAAAAATTCTGTAACGTACCATACCAATACTTTTTAATTTGATTTCCATAAAATCCCTGCAAAAGACAAGGGTAATGTAGTATATGCTTATATTGTGCTTCTCTCTTTTGATGAAATTCCTATTTGGCAATTTGCCTGTACTTTGAAATATTTTTCAGTTTGACTTACTGAGATTAAATGAGCATGCAGCCTAATTTTATTTTATTTTTTTTTTAGTTACTCTGTATTGTGAGTTCTGCACTCAGAACACTTAAAGACTTTCTATATGAGTTGTAGAAACATAGTTTTTCTATGTTCTCTGGGAATCTATTTATTTCTTCACTCCCTCACTAATTGTAAGTCAGTAGATGATTACAGTTTTTCCTTTGGTTAAGCTTCAGTGTGTCAAGAAATTAAACTATGACATAACGCAAATAATAAAAAATATTTAAGAATATTGTTTAGCTAAATGATGCACTACAGACTGCTATAGTATTTCAAATATATTAGACATTTTGCTGTTTGTTGACTCACAGGTGTGGATGAAGCCACCATCATTGACATTTTGACAAAAAGAACAAATGCTCAGCGTCAGCAGATCAAAGCTGCCTACCAGCAGGCTAAGGGAAAGGTAAAGTATATTCAAGTCAAACTTAAATTTATATAAACAAAAAGAATGATAAATCCCTGTAACTATACTGCCAATGCTGAGCCCTTGAATACAGTGACCACTATTTTTAAATGAAAGGAAAAAATTTGAATTCTGACTTTCCAGTTTTTTGAATGCTCTAGAGGTCTTTTAAATTGCTAAATCACTGGTAAGGCAAACTTCACCTGGGAGGCAGTCTGCTGAGAGAAAGGGAGGGATGAAGAAAGGGACTTGGAGACATCTCTCTGAATATTTCAGTGCAGATATAATACTAAACAGGATATGAAAGTTGTAGGACTGTAACACTGTTCCACAAGTATAGTAACACTGGTATGGGAGTAGGTGTACCTACCTCTGAGTGTTACCTTCTACCTCTGAGTGGTAAAACTGCTAGTCACTGGAATTGAGATGCTTGGAAATTACCATGATTCTGAAAAAAGTTTTAATTCTCTTAATTTTCTCTATAACAATTTTTCTCCAGTTGAACCTGAAACTTTAAATTGAAGTTACAATTGCATAGTTGGTATATCAGAGATACTGAGCATTTCCTCCTTGGAAAGTAATTCTTTTGAGTGTAACTTTTAAAATTAGAATTTCTAATTGATATTTGAAAAATAAAATTAGAATTTTCTAATAAAATTAGAAAATAAACTAATAACTCATTTAGCCTAAATTTCCTGTTTCAGTTCAGGAAACCTCACTTGAGGTTTTCACAGCCCTCTTCTCTGCTCAAAAGAAACTCCAGCCTTGCAATTATATCTTTTAAAGAACTAAATTAAAATATAACTTCAAAGACATGGTGAGACTAATGCTGTTAGATTATTAGATATGCTAGTTCCTGGCGCACCATCAAAAACAGAACAGCACTAACTATGGACATAGTGCTTGCTTCTGAAATGATCTCGTTGGTTTAGGTACCCTGACAAAGGGCTGAAAACATATTGGTAGAGAACAGGGCTGTAAATTTTAATGTAACAAAACACACTATTTAGCATTTCTAGAGACGAGGCAGAAGAAATAAGATATTTTTAATCTTAACTTTAATTTAGGTCAAATTACATTATAGCTGAAATCATAACTTTAGGACTTGCAGTTTTGTGTAGAGCAAGATTACACTATGTCTAGAGTTTCCACTGCAGATTCTGTATCCTTCATTCAATAAATGAATGAATTAAACTGGTATCCAGATAAGCAATCCAGTCATACTCATAAGAGCAATATACATTCACTTAAAAAAGCAAGCAGTGTATTTCAAATCTGCTTCTGATACTGTAAAAAAGTGAATATAGCTGAATTGCAATGTGTGAAAACATTCCTTAATGCATACTGAAAATACCTGACACTTCAATTAACATAAAAGTTACAAATTTAAAATTTCAGTAAGGGCTTCTTAATTCTTTCTAGTAGCTAAACAAATTATGTGGACCAAGATTCATCAGAAATGAGACTGATTTCTGCAATGTAGGTAAACAGTAGCTTTATAGCATTCACTGGCTTAATGTATTTCTTGTTCTTCCTGTCACAGAGTCTGGAAGATGCCTTGAAAAAAGTTCTGAAAAGCCACTTGGAAGATGTTGTTGTGGCTCTGCTCAAAACTCCAGCTCAGTTTGATGCTGAAGAGCTAAGAGCCTCTATGAAGGTGAAGTAAAAATGAGAAAAAAATTTTCTAAAGGGCATAAACAAATATCAGGGCCTGTAAATGACACTGAACTTGGATTTCAAAGCTCTTATATTGTCTTCATTTTAACCCCATTTTGTAAAATAAATCTATACCAGTAATCCCTGTTCTGAGAAGAACACCACTCAATTTCCACTGAATGTCAGAGTTGGAGGAAGTATTTTTGTAAGAAGAAATTCTTTCTGCCTTCTGAAAACTGATTGCTGATGTAGCAGTAGAATTGTAATGTTTACTTGTATATTTACATAAGAGAAAACAAAATGGAACAGGGATAGTTTTCTTCATAAATTTCACATCCTTTTATGTGCACTGCTCGGCTTCTTTAGCACTTCTTTTGGGTACCACTGATACTAAATGCAATAACAAATTAATTCCAAAAGAGCTGAAATAACAATATTGTATAGAAGAACAATGGTTCCGATTTTCCTTTCATGTTTCACATGGGGCTTTCAAAGGCAAGTCTGTGATTTTCATCTGTTCTTCTAAATTTTGAGTTCACTGTGTCAAATAACATTTCTAAAAATTTAATTACTTTTATCAGGGGCTTGGAACTGATGAAGATACCCTAATTGAAATTCTGGCCTCAAGAAATAACAGGGAGATCAGAGAAGCCAGCAGATACTACAAAGAAGGTAATTCAGAGCAAGAAAGAAGTATTAATGGCATAACTACAGACACATTGCAGTCACAGATCTACTTCTCAGTATGGGAAGCTGAGATGACATTGTAGGAGGCAAGTAAAGCTTCACATGAAATACAAACAGTTGCAGGGGAGAGAGGTCATACTGACTTTTTCTGATCTATGTGGATCCCAATATAGAAGGAAAAGTCTCACATTACTGCCAGAACTGCAATGTCTCATAGAATGGGCCACGTATTTAGATGCTTTCTAGGATGCTAGCAAAACGCAGCTGCCTTTCTTCTCTTGTAACTAAGCTTTAGCTGACTTAAGGTCTCACTAGGCTTGTAAAAAATGCCTTACTGAGTTTACAACACAGATAACATTAGTGTAGGAGCAACCAGTGAACTGAACGGCAAAGATCCTTGAATAGGTAACAAGAGTATAACATGGCTTCTTTCATATATGTAAAGTTTATTGCAGTCAATGAATGTTGTCAAATTAAATCATGTTTTTGAGATTATGTGCTAACTTTTCCAAGAGGTTTCCACTCAAGTTGTCTCATTTAGAAGCCCAGATTAATAGTTTGCATTCTGGGGGAGAGTTCTGTGTTTGAGTTCAGTGCTTTTAAGAACAGTGAGAAATAAGATTGAAACACAGATGGTTCAGAAAAAGTTTAAGCATTTTTTTATTTATTTTTTTTTTGTAATTCACGAACAAGAGTCTGAGACAGTGCCACCCACAAGACCTTTGAGAAGTAATTTTTCAGCAGATTTTGTGTTTAGCACATCTTGGGTATTAGAGGACATGTTAGAGATAGAACCCTTCTCTTGAAGATGAAAGGGAAAGTAACAAAACTGCATTTCTAGTGGTCATATTTAAGTGGGAAATTAAGAAAAGAGTGAAAAACTCATAGAATAGTTTTGGTTGGAAGGGATCTTTAAAGATCATCTAGTAAACCTAGTTGATAACTTTAAAGCAAACTATGAATACTTTTTCTATTGATTTCAGTGCTGAAGAGAGATCTGATACAAGACATTATCTCTGATACGTCTGGAGACTTTCAGAAGGCTTTGGTTGCTCTTGCCAAGGTACACTGTACTTAAGCCTTTAGAGAGACATTATCTGTAATAAATTAATGTTGTCAGGTCTATTTCAGAGAAATAATAAATAAGGATTTAGATAATGTTTATTTATTTGCAATTTTACTTCCCTATCTTAGATCATATAAAATTGTTCTTAAAGAAGCTATGATGAAGTTTTGTCTCAAATGCATTTTAAAAACCAGTGATGTTTATTATTATTTATCATTTCTGCTTTTAAGACTTTTTTTTTTTGTGGTAGCTGTCTGTAAGCACTTGGAAAAGCAACAGGCATAATGTCATACCAATTGACTAGAAATAGAAAAAGAAGAAATGCTTACAGTTAAAGAAATAAATCTTTTGTGTTGCTGTTATGTTTCTAGTAGGTAGATACATAATGGGGCAGGCAGGGTGCTAACATGCAGATAAAGTATTCTATGTATTTGTGTTCAAAAGCAGATGAGTTGCCCAATAAAAAGACTCCATTAAAATGCATTAATGATTCTGCAGTTGTTAAGTACTTGTATATGAAGCTTGTACATGTGTGCAGGATTGTTTTTTGATACATCTGTATGAATAGTTTTGATTTTCACTTTTGGTTTAAAATCAACTTGGGAATCTATAACATTTTAATTAGGGAGAAAATCACAGCTTCTAAACCTGTAACTTCACATTAAGAAAATACTTCCTGTGGATTTTAATGTAGGACTTCAGAAATAAGTTGCTGGTGGCTTTAGAAGTGTGAGCTCTGAATGATTTTTCCTTTCCAACTCTAACCATTTTATGATTCTATGATTACAAATAAACTGCTTTATTGACAGAATGATTGATGTAACTGTACCTATTTCCAATTATTTATGAAATTATGTATGAGAACGGTAGGACTGAACTATAAAATTGTGAGCTCTGGTAAACTGAATGATTGTGAGTACCAGTGAATTTTTATTTATTTATGTATGTAGGCTGACCGATGTGAAGATTCTTATGTGAATGATGAGCTTGCTGACAGTGATGCCAGGGTAAGGTCATGCTTGGCACTCTGCAGAACTTCATCTGGCTAAATTTGAGATTACGAGCTCTGGCTGTGAATGTTCTAGCTGAATCTTGTGGTTGCAGACCTAAGAGATTTGTATTTTACGTAGCAATCTTTTCTGAGTGGATACTATTTTACAAAGTTCACTTAAGCTTCACTATCTGAAGGAAGCTAAATCTTACCCATAATACCTAGTTTCAGAGGCATTTCTGCAAACCCTCTTCTAGGTCATGTACAGCATTCAGGCCAACAACTGGAGAAATTAGATACAGTATTCCTTCTGTTTATGACACAGATTTACAGATGAGGGTGTATTCATGAATGTGCAGTATATTAGCTATAGTTATTGCTTTACAATGATTAACCTTTGAAAATTGCTGGGTCAATCTCACAGCCGTTTTCAGAATAATTATGAAATAAACCACTCATCTTTTTCTTATTTCTTCCCCAATTAGACTGGCTATTTTTAAAATCTTGGTAAATTTTGCCGGCTTTCCTGAGTTTTCACATACAAAAGTTTTGATCATTGTTACAATTTAAATGTGGACTGGCTTTAAATTGGTTTATAAAAAAAATCTAACCAAGAAAAAGCCATCGAGAAATACTGGTTTTATCCCTGCTATGTTAGGAGTTTAGTTTTGTCAGATACAGAAGGTCAGTTAATACTTTAAGTTCAGAAATTGAATACCGTTTGTCTTGTTTTAAAGAGTGTTGTTAAATCTTCTTTGCTACTGTTTGGGGGTCTCCAGTTGATACTTTTGGAGAGGTTGGAGAAGGTGAGGGAAATGAAGGAGACTCGCTTGGTTCTTACTTTCCATTAAAAAGACAAGAAACACTTGGTGCGTAGGCTCCTTCTTCACGGTTGTCCAATTAATATTTGAGATAATACTGTTTGTCTGAAGAAAGCCTACCAGTCCTAGACTTCTGTGCAGACTGTAAACATATAATGGTATATGAAAAATATCTTGATTCAAGAATGTAATATAATCAGGACACTAGATGGTTATCGTAAAATATCTGGAAATATGTTTTTCAGATGCACAGTGTTTTCTAGGTTCGTATGACATAAGTGAATGTTGAAGTGTTACTTAACAGATCTAGAGTTTGAGGGTTTTAGAGTTTTGTTAGGGATTGTGTTAAGGGTTATAGTTCATTATTGACAGGCAGTGGCCTACATTTGTAGCTTCAAAAATAGAGTATTCCTGCTTGAGTTTTGCTATACTGATGTAAACTTCACTACTTTATTTATGACAGGCCTTGTATGAAGCAGGAGAGAAAAGGAAGGGAACAGATACTAATGTGTTTGTTACTGTTCTTACTACAAGAAGCTACCCACATCTCCGAAGAGGTATGTTAGATGAAACTTTGTGCTTCACTCGAAGGGTACTTTGATCATGGCCTGCTCATGAACTCGGAGAAAATATGGTTTATCAAGATGTGAATCTGTCTACTACAAAGTTCTCTGTAATTGAGCACATGATTGCTCTTGGAGTGCAATTGGCAGTTTGGCTGATCTTTCCATACTAGTGATGAGCAGTATCATTTAGGTGGTTAACTGTTACCATGAAGTAAATGGCTAGTGATCACGATACCACGGGATCAGTGTGGCAGGCATTGAATGCTCTCCCAACATAGTCATGCTCCTCAGCCAGTTTGCCCTTGGTAGAGGAATATCAGGAATATCAGTCACAAGCTTGAGCGGAGTCACTGGACCACCTCAGCCCCTGCCAATGCGAACATAAACCCTGTCCTATTCCTTATGTTGACTTCACCAGTCTGTGCAGTAACGCTTTTCTTTACATTGTGGTGTCTGAAAAAGGGAAGGAAAATGCAAAAGATGGCCCACTATGTGCACTGCTGAAGCAGTGAGGTCAGAATAAGGCAGAAGCAATGCTGGAAGAATACCACATTTTCATTACTGTTCACTGACTTTTCCTTCCTTATTTAGTCTTTCAAAAGTACACCAAATACAGCAAGCATGACATGAACAAAGTGCTTGATTTGGAGCTGAAAGGTGATATTGAGAACTGCCTGACTGCCCTTGGTGAGTGGTTCTGCAGATTGTAACCTACCATGTATACTGACTGTATGGAAATCTACCTTTTACTTCTGTCCTACTTGCTCAGATAAGAAGACCATCTGGGCTTAACCTGCTTCATTCAGAAACTTTGGATAAATCTGGTACAAAGATAGGTATTTGAGGTCTTTAAATTTGGCTAAACCTGATGAGACACACATCCTGATATGTAGAAAAGTCTTCCAAGGAGAACAGATGTGTCATTAACATAGGAAGACCTTTACAGAAAGGTCGTATGCCAAAACCAGCTGTCAGAACAGGCGCACAAATCAAGTAGTTTTAAACCTATCTTCAAAAAAAAAAACCACAAAACAAACCACAAAAACCCAAACCCACTTATCTCCAAGTTTTGTTTTTCAAATAAATTTACAATACATGGTTATTAAAAATGGAACAAATTTCCTTCTGCATTTTTTTAAAATATTCTGATAAGGTTTGTAGTAAAGGTGTATATTAAGAACATTAACATTATGTTCCTCATGAACAGTAAGGTGAAGCAGTGATTCTCTTATATCATTCTTATCAGTGGATCAGGGATGAAATCTGGAAACAGACACCCATCTTGTTCTCAGCTTTTGTATCACAGTCAAATGTACTTCGGATAAAATAATGAGTCCCATCAGAACCTTTTCCATGTCAGAAGTCAAGGGCAAGTGTGTAGTATGATTTGGTTTGCAAAACATCAAATCATAACCTCTAGCCCTCCTGCAGAAGATAACAAATGCATTCACATTTTTCTTTGTGGAAACTGCAACATTTTTCTTAGTTTTGTGTCAGGAAACTAGGCAGCGCAGTGTTGTCTCTCCAGTACTCTTTCCTGGCTGAATTGTTCTGAATAAACACATGTAAAAAACTGCTACTGCTCCCATATCTTGAAGATGGGTACGAAAACATAGATAAAAAGGATATACTGCTAGGAACACCGAGACTGCTTTTAAAGTGTTTTCTTTCCAGACTTTAGCCTTTTTTTAGTTGTTACATGCACAGCAATGTGGACTTATCACATTGTTTCATTACAGTGAAGTGTGCTACAAGCAAGCCAGCTTTCTTTGCTGAAAAACTCCACTTGGCGATGAAGGTAATCTAAAGAAAAAAGTCACCTTTGTAAACATGGGGTACTTTGTAAGCTGAAAAATAACAAGCTACCTAGAGCTCTGTAAGCCCTTTGCGTGATAAAAAAAGTCACTGCGGAAGGATATTTGGTGTATGTCTTTCTCTTCGTCTGTTTTTCCTTTTTAAGTTCTGAGTGTCTTTCCATAGGAGGAGCTATCTGTTTCTAGTAGTGTGTTCAGGAAGGTATTTGTCCATCCACGCATGTATCTTTTACTCTAGAGAGTGACAGAAATCTAACTGGACCTTTTCTTGCTTGTGAAACCACAAAAATATTAGTGAAAATAGGAACACAATTACAGATCTGGACAAGAACCTTGTAGAAGCCTAATCTTTGTCAAGGCATCCATGGTCCTTTTGTCAATTTTTGAAGCTGAGTTGAGAAAGGCAGCTGGTGATGCTGAAACAGTACAGTATGTGGGTCCAGATCTGTAATGTCTTTTTTCCTTTTCTTTTTTTTTTTTCTTTTTTTCCTGTTTGCTGTTTTGTTTCTATTTTTTTTTTTTTTTCTTTTGCTAACAGGGTGCTGGGACACGGCACAAAGACCTCATCAGAATCATGGTTTCACGCCAAGAAATAGATATGAATGAGATCAAAGGCTATTACAAGAAGCTGTATGGCATCTCTCTCCGCCAAGCCATTATGGTAGGTGATTTTGGAAGTCGAGTAAGGGTTTTTTAACATGGTAGCTGAGTAACTCATGTTAGCAATGATGCACATGCTGGTAGAATGATTTCATTTTCTGGAGTAATGTTCTTTGTTATGAAAGCTATGGCAATCTGTTAGTAGTGGTACAAGTCTCAGAATATTGTCCTAAGAGTAAAACCCAAGAGCTGAATGGGGACTCCAGCATCCCCAAGTTCTTGTACTTGAGCAGACATAAGGTACACTGGCAGGAGAGTAGAGAGGGTTGCCCTATGAACTCTATGGGATGCAACTCACATTTTTGACATTTGGGGTACTCCTGAAAATACCTTGTTAAGAAGAAATTTATTTGGCCTGCTTTTTAGGTCACTTAAGTAAATGAGTTAAATAACAAAAATATCTACTTATGGGGGTTAGACCACCCAATATATTTTCCAGAAAATTTAAATCAGTGAAGTACTAGAGGAAAACTAAACTTGCAAAGCAGCTTTGTGGAAGGTAGTAGACAACACTGAAAAACAAGAGTCTTGTTTGCAGAGAAGCATACTTCCTACATGTATCAAAATACTTTCTTGATTTTTTTTTTTTTTTTTTTTTTTTTTTTAGTGGTGTCTGCTACTTTTTCAGTTAGGTGCCAAAGATCACTTTTATTCTTCCCTAATAAGTATATGTGATCTGTAATTTGGTATGTAATTACATCACTTCATAATGTTCCAAAGTGATGATTGCATCCAAAGATCTTGAAGCATAGTTTCACTATAATAAACAATTCATGTATCTTGACAAAGTAGATTCAAATCTGGGAAAACATGGCATGTAATAATTACACTGCATACTTAACACATTTTTTTTTTTTTTTCCAAGCTGAATAAGCCATCCTATGGTGAATTTTACTGTTAGCCTGTGTTGTAGATAATCCTAGATCCAATGTATATAGAGTTTTAATATTAATGAACATTGGACATCACTGGTCAATGAAGGCATTTTCTCTTTATCTGGAGAAGAAAAGCTTAAGCTTCTGGGCAAACAGAAATTGTCTGTGCTTCTCTTCTTTATTTATGCCATGAAACCCACCCAGGATATTTATTAGCCTTGTCTACCTTTGCTCCACTCTGGAAATGAATGTGTTTATTTCTAGGTCATATGAATAACTTCCATGAGGGTACCCAGTTCAAGCTCAGTCTGTGTTTAAAGTATGTGCTATCAAGTGATTAATTTATTTAGATGAAGGACTGAAAGTACCTATATATTGAATGCTTACTGAAATTCACATAATTTGAAACCATTATCCTAACAATTGTGGGGTTTTTTTGTACTTAAATTGACAGGATGAACTCAAAGGGGATTATGAAAACGTCATGGTGGCTTTATGTGGAAATGATAACTAAGTTTCATGTTTCTGCAATGCACTCACGTCAAATTGCTGAAGGTCTTTTTGTTCGCCGCAGTTGTCTATATAAAATACAGTCTTTACTCAGTGAGGTTTCTCTGGAAAGGTACTTAATCCATATGTGTAATGTTGAAAATATGTAACCTGGAATGTATTTTTTCATTATCTTTATTTTGAATGGCATTAATAACTCATTGCCATTATTTGCCCAAAATCAAAAAATAAATGCTCCCCACATTGTATTTGCTTGATTAATAATAAAAAGTATGAAGTTTTCATATATGCTAAGCAAATAAACTTTTCAAAAGAAAATTAACATGTGTGGAACTTTGTATGTATGTCCTTTGTCGCTTTTCTGCATTTAATTTCAAGTTCTCTGCATACAGTGCATGAGAGAAAATCAGTAAGTATCTTAAAATAATGTAGCAATATCAGGCAGTATAGCTGATTGTATACCTTTCCATTTCACTACACGTAGGGTTTATGTAAGGCAGATATAAGAAAAATAACTAAAGATGACTTGTTAAAAAATTCAATGATATAAAAAATTTTATGTTATCTCTCTTGCTCTTTTTCATTTGAATTACAGAGTAAATAAACCTGTTGTGTTCACAGGAAAAAAAATGAAAAAAACCCTCTTCATAGCCTATGTAGGACTTTTATCTTTATCTGGATAAGTTGTGTAACATTTTATATTATCTTTAAGGTGAAAAAAACTTACTATCACTGCTTCTACAATCAATAAAGGCAGTTTAATAAAGCAAAAGCAAGGGTCATACACAGAAGAAAGAAAACCAAAGATTGTTTTCTCTATGTTCTATCAGCAGGTGATGGCTGGCCACTTCCCAGAAAGGGGGGCTTCAGTATGAGTAGTGGTAGTGGTTGCTCTGGAAGGCAGTGTTGTAAATAAAAAATGCCTACCCTCCCATGTTTCTCTTGGTTTTTACTGCTGAGCAGACTTCACATAATATGGAATATACCTTTCGTCCTGTTCAGCAACTTTTTCAGACATGGACAGTGGGATTGAATGCGCCCTCAGCAAGTTTGCTGATGACACCAAGCTGTGTGTTTTGCTAGATACACTGAACCAAAGGGATGGTATCCAGGGGGACCTTGATGTGCTTGAGAGGTAGGCCAATGGCCAACCTCATGAAGTTCAACCAAGCCAACTGGCAAGGTCCTACACCTGGGTAGGGCAGTCCCAGGCACAGCTACAGGTTGGGCAGAGAAGAGATTCAGAGCAGCCCTGAGAAGACGGAGTTGGGGGTGTTGGTCGATGAGAAAATGAACATGTGCCTGCTTCAGTGTGTGCTTGCAGCCCAGAAAGCCAACCGTATCCTCGGCTGCGTCAAAAGGAATGTAATGAGAAAGTTGAAGGAGGTGATCCTGCCCATCTACTCTGCTCTCGTGAGACCTCACCTAGAGTATTGTGTACAGTTCTGGTGTCCTCAACATAAAAAGGACATGGAACTGTTGGAACAAGTCCAGAGAAGGGCCACGAGGATGATCAGGGGACTGGAGCACCTCCCGTATGAAGATAGGCTCAGAAAGTTGGAGCTTTTCAGCCTTGAGAAGAGAAGGCTGCGTGGAGACCTCATAGCAGCCTTCCAGTATCTGAAGGGGACTTACAAGGATCCCTGAGAGGGACTCTTCACTAGGGACTGTAGTGATAGGACAAGGGGTAATGGGTTCAAACTTGAACAGGAGAAGCTGAGGTTAGTTATAAGGAAGAAGCTCTTTCCTGTGAGGATGGCAAGGCACTGGAATGGGTTGCCCAAAGAAGTGATATGTGCTCCATCCCTGGCAGTGTTTAAGGCCAGGCTGGACAGAGCCTTGGGTGAGGTGACATGCTTTAGTGTGAGGTGTCCCTGCCCATGGCAGGGGTGTTGGAACTACATCATCATAAGACCCTTTCCCAACCTAACAATTCTATGATTCTTTGAATATGAAATGAAGATGGTATCTTGATTCTGTACCAGAGTCCCCTATCTTCCTTTCTCATTTAAGAAAATGCATAGAAGGGAATGATTAGTTGCAGCTGTGGCTTCCTTTGGAACTTGTGATAATAATCATACATGTTTTGATTATATGCACATAAATATATATGTAAAATATGTACGCATATAAAGCATATATGCTTTACTAACCTTTTTGACGTGGGCAACAACTTATTAAGTGATGAAACTTCAATGAATGGATTTTGAAGCACTACCAGTGTTGCTGGCCATATCCTTGGAGAAAAATACCCAGAGCAAACCTATACTTAGTGGATGGATCATAACTAATTAACTTGTTAGAAGCAGATTATTATGTTTAACGGTGAAACTTGTTTCAGTCATTGTGAAATTGAAAGGTGCTGTAACCATACAATGGGAAAGAATCTGATTTCATTAGCATAGGGAAGAATTTGTTTTTCAAGAGCTATGTTTACCAGAGAATAATGTTCACCAAAATGTTGAAAAATGTTCACCCTATGTTCACCAAAAATTCATTAAAAAGTCAGCAGTTTTTAAAAAATTGTTTCCCGTTAAAGCTGAAAGATTGACTAAAAATTTAAATTTATTTGATTTGGTCTCTCTTTTTGCCAGAGTTCAAGAGAATCTCAGCAGCTGCATGTTCTTTGAGAGAGCACAGCCTAACTATTCAATTTCAAAATGTGAGCAAATTAGCAAAGTTTCATTTTAAAAGATGTGATGTTATGAATTTAAGTGTGCTATTAATAGAAAAATGGTTGTTACCTGATCATGAGTTTTGCAGGACTGTGCAACAGAAGGAAAAGATTACTTTATATTGCTGCATTCAAAACAGCTCTCCTAATTTTAAGATACCTCACTATAATTTTATTTGTAACCTTGCTTGAGGCAAGAGTAGTTGCATTTTAATTCTATTCTGTTTGTGTCTATTTCTAAATATGTGAATGCCACTTGTTTTGAAGAGGAAGGATAAGTGGAGATCTGTGTGGTGGTGTATCAGTGAGGAATCACAGGTTTACTACATTTGGAAGCCATCGGAGTCCCCTTAGGCATTCACTTCTTTCTGAGAGGCCCACATTCCGTACATGCATTTAAAAGAAAAACAGAGGCCTTTTTAAAAAAAAAAAAAGTTCTGCTTATGTGTCCATTTCATAAGTGTCTTCAATGTTAGAATATATTTATATGACTCCTTATTTCCATGGCAAATTTGTAGCCAACTGTTATAGTGCAGAAACTTCTTCAAGTACTGCAACAAACAGGGCTTAGGTTAATACTTGTGAAACAGAGTGATTGTGCCATCTACTTTACTGCCAGAAGGCTCCCTGACTGTCTGAGTGTAAGGGAAGAATATTTCTAAACTTAAAAAAAATACCGTTTTCAGTTATACCAACACCTAAGAGACAAGGTGGTTTCCTGGCATGAAGAAAAACAGTCTTTGTCCTAAAGAGTTATCCTGTACGATCAAGGGGAGAGAGAGAACTAAATGGACCAGCAGAAATAAGGCAGTGGGGTTTTATGTAAACTAATAAAAGCATCAACAGAGCAATACAAGTGAAGCTGTAAGTGTAAGTCACTCTAGTTAGAATATTCTTAAGGGAAAATGAGTTACCACAGAAGACAAGTAAACAAAGGTATTTTGTATTAGTTTGCTCTTGTCTTTCTGCCTATCAAATGACAAAAAAGATAAAATCACTGCAAATGAGTTTGAAATGCAAGATCGTAAGGACTGCATTCAACAGCATGCTTCTTTCTGTGCTGAGCTTCAAGCATGGGACGTCCACAGATTCCTACAAGGGAGGGATGTTTGCAAAATTTGTGCAGCTGTTTTCCTAACCGATGTTAGAAATTAAGCACCAGTACAAGTAAAAATAAAAGGGGGGGGGGGATAAAAAGTTATTTTCAAGTCTTTCTAAACATATCTCAAAACCAAATAAAAAAACAACCACACCAAATTTCAACTGTAAAACATCGCTCAATACTCAGGCTATCTGAAGGAAGGCTTGCTGGGGCATAGTCAGTGTGCTGGAATTTTCACCACTAATTAGTGAAACACAATGTATGAATTTTAAAATCCTTCTTGTGATGTGGAGAAAGCAATTCATAACAGCTTATAAAAGAAAGATGACTTTCATCAAGCATGAACAGGGGATAGAAGGAAAGTAGCCCATCGTATTTTGAACACAGATGTGCTTTTTTGTAAAAGAATATATTAGATTAACAGTAGCATGGGGCTTTTTGCATTCAGCTAAGACTTCTGAAGAATGGCAGCCCACCCACTTAATGGAGAATGGCCATCTAGCTTTTTAAAACTTATAAAAGGGAGGTGAGGGATGAAACCAAGAGGAAAGGAAATGTCAGTATGTTACAGAAAAGGCTATAGTGAAATTCATGAGAAGGCTTCCTTGTTTTGATGTAAGTTGATGGGAAAGAAGAGAATGAAGGGGACATAAAAAATGTGACAGGAGGATTGAAATGTGGTATTTTTTCATCGTTGTACACTTGTAGCCTATAAGCAGGAATGTATTGTAAAGACTCAGCTTCAAAGCAGCCTTGTATGTGAAAGAATCAACCTTCGTCTTCAGTGATGCAAGGCAGGAAAAGCTTTCTTAATGGATGGCAAAATTTTAGTCAGTTAGAAAAAACATTCCTTCAAATATCGCTAATTCTTTCACTACTGTTCGATAAAATGCACTGGAAATGTTAAATCTGTTACATTTAGGTTATTATTATTTTATAATCAGACATATCCTGCACTAGGGATATGTGCAGAAACTGGACAGGCTTTCCCATTTCCTTTTTCACTGAGAATACTCTTCTGACCCTTTTGGCTTTGGCCTCACAAAACAAATGATAAATTTGCAGGAGGCTACAAAAAGGCATCCATAGGCATCGAATGGTATTTCCAAAAATTTGAGCTCTGGCGCCACCTCGTGGGTAAGTTGAGAACAAGGAGGAGGGAATGTGGTCCGGCAGTACTCGGTTGCAAAGAAGCGGACTTACTGGGGCACTGTTTTCCAGGCTGCTGGAGTAATAAGAACTAAAATAGTTCAATTTCTTATGGAAAACAGGACTTTTTTTTTTTCTCCGGTGCTTCGATATCTGTTTTGATGTACTAAGACTAGCTGATGTACTCTTAAGGGGACATACAAAGAGAGGTTTCTCAGAGCACCGACAGCAACAGCAACAATAACAACAACAACAAAAAAGAAGCCCCACAAAAAAACAATCAAAACCTTCTCCTTGAGGAGAGAACTTGGGGGTGTTGACTGATGAGAAGCTCAACATGAGCTGGCAGTGTGCACTCACAGCCCAGAAAGCCAACCGTCCCCTGCATCAAAA